CCCGTCCCACGAAGGGTTTTGAAACCCACCGGGGGTTTTTCCATCCCGGCAGCAGGCGTCGGCGCCAGGAAGTCCCCACGGTTCCCGCTCCGCCCTCGCCCATACCCTACACCGCCGGGATGTCCCCAGCGCCCAAAAGCTTTTGGGGTTACGGGTAAAGCGTCAGCGATTACTTGTGAAATTTGAGGGTGAAGTTCTTGTAGCTGCGGTCCAGCTCCGGAGGAAGAGGCTGCGGGTCCTCGGGGTCCACTCCCAGGCAGTCTGCGAGGAGGGAGAAGCACCTTCAGGGGAAGCCCGAGACCCCCAAAAAACCCTTTGGATCTTCTCAAACCCAGGATAAAGAGGGAGAAAAAAAAAAAAAAAACCAGCAGCGGCTGTAGGACAAGGAATGGCAGTGCCACCGTGCCCAAAACCCACCTGTGACAATCTTGGGGTCGATGTTGAAGGTGTCGTTGGCCGGATCGATGCGCCCTTTACGGTAGTACTGCTGGCACAGCATGAGAGCCGACTGGTTGCCTCCGCTCTCCCCCCGCACGTAGGCGTAGCGGCCGATGGTCTCGTTGGGAATGGCCAAGTACTGGAGAAGGAGACGCCCTCAGCGGTCGGACGCGGTCCCCAGCCACCTCGCTGTCCCCCTCCGCCCACGGATCTCACCTTCTCCACGGCGTAAAACATGCGGTCGTAGAGGCTGCGTTGAGTGTAGACGGCGTAGGAGTCGTCCGCGCCGTCCACGTAGTCCTTCAGGAAGAGGTGCTTGAAGGCGATGGTGTTCTCCTCCTTGAACGTCACCACCATCTGGTTGCTGAGCCCGAAGAGGATGAGCTTGAGGGACAAAGGGGACCACGATTAAATCCCTGGCCTGACAGCCCCGTAAACAACGCCACGGCCCAAAATGCAGTCATTGTGCCCCAAAACTGGTCGCAGGAGGGGAAACACCAGCACTTGGGTGGCCCCAAGATGACAAGGGCCAGCTAGCACGTCCCTGAGGTTGTCTCCATCTCCACCTGGTTGCCCCAAAACCTCTTAAGCTGCCTGTTTTCCTGCGGCAAAGCTCTCCCACCGCAGATGGAGGGGAGGACGAACTCCTTGGGGACATGCGTGTGTCCCATCAAACACAGGGCAGGACAATCTCCTTGGGGACATGCACGTGTCCCACCACAGACAGGACAGGACGACAATCTCCTTGAGGACACACACGTGTCCCACCACACGTCAGGGAGGACAATCTCCTTGGGGACATGCACGTGTCCCACCACATGTCAGGGAGGACAATCTCCTTGGGGACACACGTGTCCCATCAAACATGGGGCAGGACAATCTCCTTGGGGACACGTGTCTCACCGCACATAGGGAGGACAATCTCCTTGGGGACACACATGTCCCATCTAACATGGGGTGGGACAATCTCCTTGGGGACACACACATGTCCCACCACATGTCAGGGAGGACAATCTCCTTGGGGACAAACGTGTCCCACCACATGTCAGGGAGGACAATCTCCCTGGGGACACACATGTCCCATCAAACATTGGGAAGGACAATCTCCTTGGGGACAAACGTGTCCCATCAAACATGGGGCAGGACAATCTCCTTGGGGACACGCATGTGTCCCACCACATGTCAGGGAGAACAATCTCCTTGGGGACACGCATGTGTCCCACCACATGTCAGGGAGAACAATCTCCTTGGGGACACGCATGTGTCCCCCCACATGTCAGGGAGGACAATCTCCTTGGGGACACACGTGTCCCATCAAACATGGGGCAGGACAATCTCCTTGGGGACACGCATGTGTCCCCCCACATGTCAGGGAGGACAATCTTCCTGGGGACACACGTGTCCCATCAAACATGGGGCAGGACAATCTCCTTGGGGACACGCATGTGTCCCCCCACATGTCAGGGAGGACAATCTTCCTGGGGACACACGTCTCCCATCAAACATCAGGGAGGACAATCTCCTTGGGGACACACACATGCACGTGTGTGTGTGTCCCCAGTGCCACCAAACACCCTGGAAACATGACAGCAGAGTGGACCCTGATCTTCCTCCTCTTCGTCACCGCTCTCCCTGCCGGCGTGCTCTAAACCCCTCCCCACGCCGGTAATTAGCTTGTATTTATTAACACAAGACGCCGCTCGCTCGTTAGCGCTGCTCGTTGGCCGGGCGAGGGCAGGGGTGGCTCTGGGTGACACCGCTCAAAGTCTCGAGGGAAAAGCACCCAGGACAACCCCGCGGCGCCGGGCTGGGACCTGCCGGGCAGAAGAAGGGGGGGGGAGGGGGGGCAAGGCCCCGTTGTCCCCGTCGTTGTCCCCAAGGGGATGTCACATTTGTCACATGCCAGCTCTTTCCGTCACGCCTCGTGACCGCAGCCCGGTGGTTCCTCGGGGAATTTTCCGCCCCGGGACGGAGCCTGGCACCCGTCTGGGAGCCGGTGACACCCTGAGGGTGACATCCTGAGGACTGGGGGTGTCCTTTCTGCCACCTCCCCAACTTTTTTTGGGGGGCACTCCGGCATCACCCGCTGTCTGAGACACCCTGACGTGTGGCACCCGGACCCCAAGGACGTGCCACCAGGGTAACCCCAAACATGTCACCAGTGTAACCCCAACAGACACACACACCCCCCTGCCCAGGGGACTTCTCCTGAGTCCCCCGCTGTCCCCAAGCACCCCCCCCAAGTGTCCCCAAATACTCAAGCCCCCCTTCCCCTACCTCCCTAGCGCTCCCCACGATGTCCCCAGGCCTCGCTGACTGTCACCTCCTATGTCCCCAAGTCCACAGCCCACCTCAGAGGTTACCTCCTATGCTCAGAGCGCCCCCCCC